ATTCTGCTAAGTGTGCAATATGTGCTGAGCAGCAAGGAGCAAAGGACGTGGCTCACCATGCCGGCACCCACAGATGCCTGGTATTTCAAAAGGCGCTCCAGAAGTTGACGAACAAACAAGCATTAGGATACTGCAGCTCAATCTCAACCATTGTGAAGCAGCACATGACCTGCTTATGCAATCCGTGCGAGAATTAGAACTTGACTTGGTACTGATAGCAGAGCCATATAAACACCTGAGTACCCAACTGAGTACAACTGAAAGATGTTGGACATCTACACTGCCAGCGACCATCATGCGATATTCTGGGAAATATCATGCGAACAGAACCTCAAGAGACCAATCAAGCAGTCTAACATCGTTGGTTGGAAGGTGAAATCTTTTGATCCAGAAGCATTGCTAATAGCCCTCGATGGTGATCCGATCGACACTGGATGTGAAGAAGAACGGACTAAGGACCTGATGAGGAGAGTAACACATGCTTGTGATGCCAGTATGCCTCGTAAACATGGCATAAATTCGAGACCTTCAGTGCATTGGTGGAATGACCACATCAGCGTCCTCCGTAGGGAGTGTCATAAGAAAAGAAGAATCTCTCAGCGCGGCTATCAACGGCCCAACTCAGTGGAGCTGATCGCAGAATACAAAAAGGTGCGTCGTGGACTGAATAAAGCCATCAAAGAGAGCAAAAGAAGATGCTGAAAAGAGCTTATATACGAGGTGGATAAAGACGTGTGGGGTAGGCCTTATAGGGTGGTTATGACCCACCTGAAAAAACAACAAATGCCATCACCTACGTGTCCTCAACTTCTTCAGAAAATCGTCACTGCACTGTTTCCACAAAAACGCAACTTCGATTACCAGTTGGCGCCAGGCGAACTGGACGACATCCCACCTGTCACTGAAGAAGAACTGCTGGAGGCTTGTAACCGTGTAGGGAATAATAAAGCGCCGGGATTGGACGGAATCCCTAATTTAGCCTTGAAAACCATCATAAAGGCAGCTCCAACATTATTCCTAGACGCTTATGATGCATGCCTCAAGGAGGGGACTTTTCCTCGTAAGTGGAAACAGCAACGATTGGTACTGTTACCTAAAGGGAAGAAACCACCAGAAGAACCGTTATCTTACCGACCACTTTGCATGCTAGATACGGCGGGTAAGATATTTGAGCGCATAATATATCAACGAATAAATGCAGTAGTCGACCCACTCCTGGCAGACAACCAGTATGGATTCCGAAAAGGACGATCAACCCTGGACGCGATCAATCTGGTTGTTAGCACGGGTAAAGAAGCGATCGCGGAACCAGATGGAAGGGTGGCACAAAGAAGTATTGCCTGGTGGCGTTATTAGACATTAAAAACGCTTTCAATTCCGCCAACTGGAACTGCATCATGCAAGCTCTTCGAGAGAAAAACGTTCCAGAATACTTGTGTAGAATAGTGGCCAGCTATTTCACCGATAGAGTTCTTAAACACGACACGAAGAATGGTCCAAAAGAGTACGATATTACCGAAGGTGTACCCTAGGGCTCTGTACTTGGTCCACTGCTGTGGAATATCATGTACGATGGCCTATTGAGATTGAAATTGCCAAGAAGTGTAAAACTCGTAGTGTATGCAGACGATGTAGCCATAGTCATCGTCGCTATTTATCTTGACGAGATTAACAACATGTTCGACATCACCTTCGAGCGAGTCCATCGGTGGATGAATACAGTAAACCTGCATCTGGCTACACACAAAACTGAGGCAGTGCTTATATCCAACAGAAAAGTGTTAGAGACCATGAAGTTGAACGTCGGCGAACAAGAAATCACATCACAACCTTATATCCGATATTTGGGTGTGATGCTTGATGCCCGACTCAACTTTAAACAGCAAGTGGAACACGTCAGTGCCAAAGCGTCAGTAGTGAGGGCTAGTCTTGCACGACTGATGCCGAACGTTGGAGGCCCAACGCAGAGCAGGAGACTATTACTATCATCAGTTGTCACATCGGTGCTCACATATGGAATATCTGTTTGGGCAGACGCGCTGGAGTTGCAAGAATCATGGAGAAAAGCTGGACCAGTATATCGACTGATCGTTGTAAGACTAGCCAGTGCATTCCACACGATCTCAGAAGTAGCAGTGTGTGTCATTTCCGGAACTTTGCCGCTCAGAGTTCTAGCTGAGGAAAGACGGAACCTTTACCAACGAAAGAGTTCAACCACACTAAGTGCCGAGGAACTCAGAGCTGAAGAACGGCAGAACAGCATCGCACGATGGCGATCGCAGTGGGACGCGGCGACAACAGGAAGATGGACACACCGTCTCATACCGAAGATCGACGTTTGGCTAAACCGGAGTCATGGCGAGGTCAATCACTATCTGACGCAGATGTTGTCAGGACATGGATGTTTTCGGACGTATCTTCACCGCTTCAAGCATGATGATTCACCGGAGTGCCCGTCCTGCTCAGGAATCAATGAAGACGCGGAGCACGTTTTCTTTGAGTATCCACGATTTTACCCACAGCAAGATGAGTTGGAGATGATCCTGAAGAAGAAAATCCAACCAGAGACAATAGTAGAAGCAATGCTGTCATCGAAGGCTGCCTGGAACGCCACAAACACGTTTGCAACAGAAGTCCTCATAGACTTGCGTTCCATCGAAAGAAAAAGAGCAAATGACAACAACTAGAAGAAAGGTAAAATAACACCTTAGCTACCAGAAGGAAGAGCAGTCGCTATATCCTCCCCCCACGAAGTAATGCCTAACGGCGGTTTCCATGAGGGATTAGAGGGAAGAGGAAAGGGGTCTAGGGTTTAGTGGGTAGGGGCGTTAGCGTCGAGTTTTAGTATGACGCTGCGTCGAGTCGCCACATATCCAGGCCCAACAGCTATGCCTAGAATCCGTAAAAAGGATTCCCCCCCCCTTAATTAACAAAAAAAAAAAAACATACAGACATACAGACACCATCGCGGGAATGGTCAGGGAAGCTTCCTAGGACCTCAAAATGTCGAGATTCGATGAAAACTCGATTTTCGTAAAACGGGGTAAAAACAATAACTTCCCGATTTTTGAAAATCTTCGATTTTCTTAGCGGGAAGTTAAAAAAACCGTTTTTGGAAGGGATAATAATAGAAATTAATAAAATAATACATTACACATGTTTATTGGTGTTTCAACTTTATAAAAAGAAATTTTTTTTTCAATATTACAATATGAAAAATCACACAGAAAAAAAGAATTATTTGTCTCAAATAAATCAATTTATTTCCTTAGCGGTTTTGTAAATGCCGAAAAAATGTCGTAGGTATACAGTAATAATGCGGTATTTTTTCCGCATTTTTCAGCATTTTTTCGGTTGTTTCGTTGAGTCGTTTTCAATTGAGTCGTTTTTTCAAATATTTCTTTATGACAACTAAAATATAAATTTGGTACAAGTAAATATAACAGTCTCTGGTTAAAAATACTGATTGTAAAGAATTGAAAAGCGGTCACTCCATGCAAACTTTATATCTATATAGACAAACAAAAGAATTGAAATTATTGAAAAGAATTCGAATTTTATCATTTCCCTGGCGGTTTCATGCTTACGGTAAATCCGCGGTGACTCCATAGTGAAAAGATGGTCGATTCACGGTCGTTTCACGTGACGGCTATTTCACTATCTAGTTAGGGTTGTAGTAGGGTGAAATCACTGTCGAAAAACAGTATATTCGTTCTGTTGCGTCACTAACTACAGATGGTAAATAAATGTTGACTTATCAGCAGTTCTATGATGAAAAGACCGTTCGTAATTCGTGGAACCTTAGCATTTATGTTGTCAGTATGGCATGCTTCTACTGCGGAAAAATGATTTTTTCAAAGTGAACACCTCATAAACTCATAGTGATATCACTGTGGACCTACTACGGTTCGACGATCGTTCGACCGTCAACTCACGGTAAAATCACCTTCTTTTCACCGTATATACTCGTTCGTTTTCTTCCGGACAAATGATGTAAATGCTGTTCAATTATTATTTAATAAACAGTGTAGAGTGCTGAACTCTATTGATATTAATCATTCCATTTAGTTATTTGTAGTTAATTTTCAGAATAAAAAAATTTTCAAAATAAACGCTTTAAAACATTTCATTTACAAATTAATATTTTTTCGCTCGATTAAAAAATATTTATTTTTTAACACTATTCGACAGTTAATAAATTTAATAATTACATCAATATGTATATGACAAACACAAATGACGGAAAGCTTATGAAACAAAAAATTTTAATTATGTTTTTTTACAGAATCAGGATATTTCAAGATACAATGAAAATCGTCCTTAATTATCATGCTATAAATATAAAAAAAAAAATTTCATCAACTTTTAATTAAAAACTACCTGCCCCTGTCTAAAAATATTCATTCAAACTCGCTACCATTTAGTAGACAGTCCCATGGCTAAGCGGTACACCGCTTGTCATGCTTGCTTGGGACTGGTGAGGCGTGAGTTCGAATCCCGGTGTGAGCTGAAATTTAATTTTAGCATTTTCAAATGGGATTTTTTATGAGTAAGTTATTCAAAGACGGTCAAAGGAGCGTTATTTGACAAAGGAAGGAACGTGAAACGACGGTAAATCGACAGTGACACGACGATGAAACGACAGCAAAACGACGGTGAAACGACAGTAAAACGACTTTGGATTCACTCCTATTTTACTGTGTAACAAAAGTGCTTTGACTGTCAAATAACTATACATTTATGAACTTTTTACAAGGTTTTACTCCATAGTTGCCATATAAAAATGTCGTTTGAACCATTTTACCAAGGTCTAATGATCTCGAAGAGCTCAAAAACGTAATGTGTAGTTGAAGCGTTTAAGTACAAAATGAGCGGGAAGTTGCAGGGATGGCCTTTAGGGTCAACCGTCATCCTAATTTTTTCCTTATTTAAACTGATCAAAACCAATAAGAAGTTAATAAACATTCATCTAACTCATAATATTTTTCTATTTAAATATTTCAATACCGTGTAGTTGTTCCTATTGTTGGCCTTTTTACTGTTAGAGCCACTGTTGAATTTTTTAGGTGTTTGATTATGTGAGTAATTTTTCGGTAATCAGACAAACACAATATTTGACCATTGATTGCTAAAAGTTGATCTCCAGGTATTAAGCTTCCAGTTCTGTATGCCAAAGATGCACGTTTAACTTCAGAAATAATTAAATCTTCGTTTATTGTGATTCCTAATTCCGATTGACCACCTACAGGCCGAATTAGTCGGACTGTAAAAATACCAGACCTCATAACAGCTGGACCACCAACTTTATATTCGATCACAAGTTCCACCTAATATTCAAAATTAAATTAAGGATCAAGATTATTATTTATTTTTAATTCTCTTGACGAGAATGAGTGATATTAAACATGGCAACGTCTTTAAAATTGTCATGTCAGAATGAGAAACAAAATTATTGTGTGCAATCTTATAAGTGTATTTTAACTTTAACCCTAACCAAGCGTTATTTAGAAAAGATTGATGCAAAGTTACATTCAATCATCCATGACTGTGTATGATGATGAGAAAAATATTATGTGATAATTTACATGACTGTGTATTACTTTGCTCTTTGAGCTCAAAAAACATGGCGGTGCAGCTATTTTTGAGCTCTCCAAGTTCTAAGACAAAAATATAGCTTTTGAGCTCTAAGGGCTCAAAAGCGAAATTTGTATTTAGTCAAACACTTTTATTAAAATATTTGAACTGCTGTGGTGGTTTTGACTACCTGGTAAAAATTTCGATGAAGGAATATACTCCGTTGCTGCGGAGTATATTCCTTCATAGAGCTTACTCAGGATACCGACGGAGTTTACGCGGTGTTTTTGTTTAACCGCTAGAAAAGAGATCTAGTCAAATACTTATAAGAAGAATTACGCCTTCGGGCTTAATCGTTAAAACTCGGATTCCCGAGTTTCGTATAAACTCGGGAATAATCGTATCACGCTATGGCCGTCGCGCATGCGCGCCTTGGTTAGCGGTAGAGAAGCCGGCTCGCGTGGTCTGATGCAACAGCTGTGCTTGGACTTCTGTACTAGTACGACTACTCTGTGCTAATCAATTCTGACAATTCTTACTTGCATCTCACATTCATTCAAATATTTAAATCATTCATTAAATATAAATAATTATAGTAGACTCAATTATACTCTAAATTCTCAATTCATTTAAATCAGTTTAATAAATCAGTGAATTAACATAAATAAAATCAAATAAATTTATTTAGTGACGCCACGCGGCCATTACGCGCCACCGTGACAAAAGATTGCATCAGCCACGCGGCTTTAGACAATCCATAATCGACGCGTGATATTAACCATTAATTACATTGAATTAATTATGAACATTTAATTACGATCTTATTTAAATTAACTTATAAATAATTAAATTCCAACTTCAAACCATTTGACTAATTTCTACACGAAAAACATCAAACTCAATTGACTAACATTCTGTTATCAATCAAATATTATTAGCTCTCACCTAGAGACAAGTGAACATTAATAGCTCTCACTCTGAGACAGTTCAAATTAATTAGATATTACCAGCTCCCACCTTGGGACTTATCTAATTCAAATTATCGATAATTTTCTATCTAAGGCGGCTGAGCTCACCCCTATTGCGTTATTGCAACGTAATTTTAAACATTCACACTTACACACACACAATTTACTTGTATAATTTCATCAAGGAAGTTTTTTCCCAGCCTAGCTGGGTTTTCCTCCTTTGGGGACAAATAAATTCTTCTAAATTGTTCCCCAAAAAACCCAAGTATTATTATTTAATTTCCTAAGCCCAACTTTATCGTATAATTTAAAAACAATTACGGGAATTATCCGCATTGGATAGTTTCCGACAAAACACTAATTTCTACATGAAAAACATCAAACTCAATTGACTAACATTCTGTTATCAATCGAATATTATTAGCTCTCACCGAGAGACAATTGAACATTAATAGCTCTCACTCTGAGACAGTTCAAATTAATTAGATATTACCAGCTCCCACCTTGGGACGTATCTAATTCAAATTATCGATAATTTTCTATCTAAGGCGGCTAAGCTCACCCTTATTGCGTTATTGCAACGTAATTTATACACACACACACACTTACACACATACAATTTACTTGTATAATTTCATCAAGGAAGTTTTTTCCCAGCCTAGCTGGGTTTTCCTCCTTTGGGGACAAATAAACCATCTAAACTGTTCCCCAAAAAATCCAAGCATTTTTATTTAACTTCCTAATCCCAACTTCATCATATTTTTAAAAAACAATTACGGGAATTATCCGCATTGGATAGTTTTCAACAAAACATAAAGATTGCTTGAAAAAAATAATCATTTATCTATCTATAATTTTGGTATGCGAGTCAATCCACTTTAATCACGAATTATCAATTTATTTAATTAAGGAAGTTCGAGCGTAACTAATGAGTCAAAATAATGTTAAAACTTTTTTTTAATTTTAGTCTTCCCAATATTCGTCAAAATTCTTTATTTTAATTTAAAATAATTTAAACAATTTAACAATTGATGATTTTTACTTATTTAATAAAGTAGAGTAATAAAATGACTTTGGTATTTATTAATTGCCGAAATAAATAAACAGATTTGGCAATAGCGCACTTGATTATACCTATAACAGAGACGTGGATGAGTATGTGAGTTAAACATTTCTCTCTCTGTAACTATATTTCTATCCTTTTATTTTTTCTCAGCTGTTGACGCGATGTTGTCAAATCTTTATTCGAATAAATGGCTGAGGATAAACGAGTTGCAAACATAAAATTTGACTTTAAATATTTCAAAAATTATATCGGTAATGTATTATTATTAAATTGTTTTTATTTAATTATTAACATTTAATTACGATCTTATTTAATTTAACTTATAAATAATTAAATTCCAACTTCAAATCATTTGACTAATTTCTACACGAAAACATCAAACTCAATTGACTAACATTCTGTTATCAATTGAATATTATCAGCTCTCACCTTGAGACAATTTATTTAACTAATTAAACATTAGTAGCTCTCACCTTGAGACAATTCATCTAATTAATTGAACATTATTAGCTCTCGCCTTGAGACAGTTCATCTAATTAATTAGATATTACTAGCTCCCGCCTTGGGACAGTACAAATTCAAATTATCGATAATTTTCTTTATACGGCGGCTGAGCTCACCCCTATTGCGTTATTGCAACGTAATTTATACACACACACTTACACACATACAACTTACTTGTATAATTTTCATCAAGGAGGTTTTTTCCCAGCCTAGCTGGGTTTTCCTCCTTTGGGGACCAATAAATTCTTCTAAATTGTTCCCCAAAAATTCCAAGTATTATTATTTAATTTCCTAATCCCAACTTTATCATATAATTTAAAACAATTACGGGAATAATCCGCATTGGATAGTTTTCGACAAAACAGTTTTAGTGGAGAAAATGCGAAGTATATTGTGTGCAGTGCGACACAAGATTCTGTCAGTGTATTATGAGGATATCCATGGAATATTGCCAATGTTCTCACTTAGTATTCCGTGATTTCTTTTTTAACTTCCCGCTAAGCAAATTGAAAATTTTCAAAAATAGGGAAGTTATTGGTTTTACCCTATTCGAAAGTTTGATGCTGAAAACGATTAAAATGCTGGGACTTGGATAGTTTCTGGTGTTCAAATTATTTAAACAACTTTGTTGTTATTAATTATGTTTTTTAATAATTATTTATATCATCAACTTCAATTTCACATAAATATTTATCACAGTTAAGTTTATTTATTATTTGTACGAGGCTAGAATCACAACTAATTAGCAAAAACGCGATAGAAGATTAATTAAAGCTTGGTTAAGCACGTGCAAGCCATGCGGTTGAGAAGCCAAGATTTTTAAATAGCTTCAAACAAGCCAAAAAGCACAGAATAATGAAACTGAAAACTGCAGGATAAATCAAAATAATTACTGAAACAGATTAAATCAATATTAAAGCAATTTTAAGCACGATTAATTAATTAATTAGAATTAGATCCCTAGCGGATCCATAAACACCATGTAAACTTAGTGTAAACTCGGTGTATACTTAGTGTCAGTGTAAATTAGGGGTTTATTTGGTGTATACTCAGTGCATATTGAGTATACACCAAATACACTCCAAGTTTACACTGAATTTACACGGTGTATATGCGCACAATATACACGGAGTTTACACCGAGTATACACTAAAAAATTTTTTTAAGTCCTCAGAACAAAAGTTGTGAAAAAAATTAAAAAACAAAAAAAAATTGAAATTAAAAAAAATCAAATTTTGAAAAAAAATTAATATTTTTAGGTAAAGTACCCAGTACTTGAACAATTTTAAAAATGGCCCTCGTACTTGAACAGTTTGGAAATTCTTATATTATTAAAAAACTCCGGCAGTAAACATTAATATTTAATGTATATTAAGATAACTTGATGTCTTAGTTAATGATACAAGAAATATTTTTTAAAGTCAAAGCTAAATATTATATTTTATCTAATATTTAATGACGGGATCATTGAAAGTGTCGATTAGTATCCATTTTTGAATGAAAATGATACCACAACAATAGAAAAATGGCGAAATAACCCAAAATATTTGAGAATTCATCAAAAAAACTTAACCAATCAAAAATATAGATCATTTTGCAAAATATTCTGTTGTTAATAATAGTTTTAATTATTTTTTTATATTTAATTTAGCTGTTCAGGTATACCTCCCAATTTCAAATGTAGGACCCAAAAGTTGAACGACATAGCGCCGTGTGTTCAAGTATACCGTCTCTCATTTTTACGTGACTGCAGTAAGGTAAAAGTCCCTATTATGAGACGATGTCCCCATTTATGATACACTACATAAAAATACTATTTTATAAAAAAAAACACACCGCTAGCATACCAAAAGTATAATAAATATATTATTTCATCTATTCCAAAAGCAATTTTCGACTTTGGTTGTTAATTGATTCCATACTGTTTTTTAAAAATATTTATTAAAGTGCGAGGTTTGTTATCTGTGCTCAAAGCCACGACCGAGAATAGTAAAACGACAACGGCTACCTAGTTTTTTATATTAGTGTAATTTCATTGTGTTTTCTACTTTTATATTAAATTGTATATCAATTGAAAGCTGATGAGTAATAGACTTTATTTCTATACACATTTATGCGTTTTTTTTTATTACAATATTTTAAATATGAGTGTCTCACAATACCTACACTTATT